AGCTTTATATTAGTATCTCAATAAAGTCAAGATAAATAATAGTTTTGAACTCTTTGAAAATTGGCAAGCTTTTATTATAGCATTAAGAAAAGTCTTTAACTATCACATTATCAACAATATCTCCATAAATAACTTTATCTCCTTTATCAAATAGGATCTATACAAGACTATGATATAAAGTTCAGAAATATAATTAGAGAAATTACAAATATGAGCACTTTAAACTAGATCACATATTTTATAGAAGATCTAAAATCAGCTACAAAAATAAAGATAAGTTATCAGAAACTCTAGAAGAAGCTTGAAAATTAATTATTTATTATGATATAGTTATGTATGAGCAAGATAGATCATTAAACTTATCAAGTAGAAATAATAATAATCATCACTCTCAGAATTAGCACATAAACTATCAGAATAATGGTCCTATATCAATAGAATTTGACCAGGCAAAAAGCTATTATAATAATAAAAGAAATAATAATAATCAGAAGAATAATAAGTCCAAAGATACATATTATAATTATGGTAAACCAGATCACTTTGTCAAGAATTATTATTCAAAATCAAAAACTAAAATTATAAATATTAAAGATAAATAAGAAAAATCTTCATAATTATATGAGAGAGTTGAGTTCACTCATTTAGAAGATAATAGAGAAAGAATGCTAAAATTTAATAATTAAGTAAATGGTAAATCAGTATGAGTATTACTTAATAGTGATACATCTAGAAACTTTATAAATAAGAAGTTTATACAGAAGAATAAAGTTAAATTACAGAAGACTATATCAGTTACAGTTGAACTTGCTAATGGCAAGAAGATTACTATCATCATCATGACAAAGATTAATAAGCTTAAATTAAATACTTATAGAATGTATAAAATGAATATACAAATATTAAAATTGTAGAGATATGATCTTATCCTAGGTAAATCTTGATTATTTTATATCAATCTCATCATAGACTAGAGAAATAATATTATAATCTTTATCTATAGGTTAAAAATAATAAAAGTACAAGCTAACAATAAAATAAAAGTCAAACTTTAGCTGTAATTTAATTTATATTTCAAGATAACAAATTGTAAACTTGTCAGCAAATACAAAATTCTTTACTATACATCTTAATAATACTAAAGATAAAGAAAAAGCAAAAGAAAAATTACTTTTACTATAAGTATTAGATATTAAAAGAAGATTTTAAGATATATTTCCAGAAATCTTATCAAATTCCTTACTATCTAAAAGAGTAATTAATCATAAAATTGATCTTATCTCAGAATTTAAATCATTATCCAGACTCACCTATAGACTTTCTTTTATAAAAATGAATGAGCTCAAGAAATAATTAGCTAATTTAATACAGAAAGATTTTATTTATTCAAGTATTTTACCCTTTGGAGTACCAGTTCTTTTTATACATAAAAAAGAAGATATACTCAGACTATGTATTAATTATAGAACTTTGAATAAAATTACCATCAAGAATTGCTATCCACTATCTAGAATTGATGAGTTGATAAACAGATTTATAGGTTTTAAGTATTTCTTAAAACTAGACTTGTATTCAAAATATCACTAAATTTACATTACAGAAAAAGTTATTCACAAGATAATATTTAGAATTTGCTATGAATACTATGAGTTCTTGATTCTATCTTTTGAACTCACCAATGCACCAGCTATCTTTATAATACTTATGAATAACATATTTCATAATTATCTTAATAAATTTGTAATTATATACTTAGATGATATCTTGATATATAGTAAAATAAAAAAAGAATATATTTAACACTTACAGACTGTCTTAGAAATACTTCACAAATATAAATTATATGTCAAGTAGAAGAAATATAATATTATATAGTAATATGTAAAGTATCTTGGATATTTCATTTTAGCAGATGGTATCTCTATTAATCAAAAAAAAATTGCCACTATTAGAGATTGGTTAGTACTAACAAATATATCAGAACTTCACTTATTTCTAGATCTTGCAAGTTATTATAGAAAATTTATGAAAAGTTTTTTAGTAACTATCTCATTACTTACAGTATTCCTATATAAAGATCAAGAGTATGAATAATCTATAATAGTGTAATAAGTATTTGATATTCTTAAATAATATCTTACATTAGTATCAGTCTTGTTATTATCTAATTTAAAACTACCATTCACAGTTACTATAGATACTTCAGATTTCATTATAGGAGCTACGCTAAGTCAAAATCAAGACAAGGATAATTAATTTATAACTTTTGAATCAAGAAAACTTTCATCTGCAGAACAAAACTATCCAGTTCATAAAAAAGAGTTACTTGCTATTATTCATGTTATTAGACTCTGAAAGCCATATTTAGAAGAGCAAAAGTTTATTATTATTACAAATTATGTCTCTTTGAAATACATTAAAATATAACATAATCTTTTAAAAAGACAAGCTTACTGATTAGAGACTCTATAGATTAGTAATTTTAAAGTCAAGTACAAATCTAACAAAGATAATATAATAGCAAATATACTTTCATACTAATCATACTTAGTAAATATTTTAATAATCATTATCAATCTAATAGAAAAAGAAGATTTGATAAAGAAATATCAAGCAGATAAATATTTTGTAAAAATATATAAAGTCTTGAAGAACTTCAATAATACCAATTCAAAATAGTAAACTAAAATTAAAAACTTTGAGTTAAAAGATAAATTACTTTATTTAAAGAATATCAATCACTTAACTATATCAGATGATAAAAATTTAAAGACAAAAATCTTGTTTGAATTTCATAATATATCAATTGCTAAATATATTAGAATAGATAAAACTTATATAGCAGTATTTAATAGTTCTATTGGCCAAAAATAAACAAAAATATTCACAAATATATTATTAGTTGTGAATCTTATTAGTATAATAAAAATAATAATCAATAATTCTTAGTATTACTATAATTTCTAGCTATTCCTGAATATAGATAAGAACATATTATCATAAACTTTATAGTATAACTCTTAATCATCAAGTCTGAATATAATACTATAGTAATCTTTATAAATAAATTATTAAAAAAAGCACACTTTATATCAATCACAACTAAAGATGACTTCTCAACTAGTTATAACTTGTGAGAATTGTGACAGAATTATGACTAATTATAGCTTCTATTATTAATCATAATCATGACAACTGTATCTAATATTACAAAGATTTTCTTTGAAAATATTTTTAAATTACATGACTTACTCATAATTATAATATCAGATAGAGATGCAAAATTCATAAGTTACTTTTAGAAGTCTCTTTTTGAATAACTTAAAACTAAACTTACTATATTTATAGCCTTTCACTTACAAATAGATAGTTAAATAAAAAGATTAAATAGAATCTTGGAAGAGATGCTCAGAATTTATACTACTTATCAGTAAAATAGATAAAATAAAAATTTAGCAACTATAAAATTCACTTATAATAATAGTAAAAATACTTTAACAGATCACATTCCTTTTAAATTAGATTGTGAATAGACATCTTGCATATCTATCAATACTCTGTCATAATAAAATAATATTATAGTCTCTCAAGATTTCATGAAGTATTGGAATATCATGATAAAGACTGTCAAAGATTTATTACTTGAAGCTCAAGAAAAATAGTTAAAATATGCAAATCAATACAGAAGATTTGAAGAATTCAATCTTGAAGATAAAGTTCTTCTTTCTACTCATAATATAGAATCTTTAGTTAATTGATTAACTGGAATAGATCCAGTGAAATAAGTCTAATCACGTGCATATATTATCCAATTATATATATGAGAAAATGAGATTTATATCACATATATAGGAAAATGAAATTTATTATTATTTTAATCATATATATACATGGGAAAATAGGATTTTTACAATTCATTAATGTATGAAGGTGCATCTAACTTATCAATAAACAACTTACTAAGCATCTATTTTGCGCAGCTATCTCTTTGAAGATATTGGTAATATGAAAGAATATTAGAAGATAAGTTTATTTCGAGCAATAAATCAGTTATCTCTTTATCATCTCAATCATCATCTAATTTTTCATCTTCAAGCATTGACTCCCACAATCTTAACATTTTATCCAATTCATCTCTACTCTCACTAATAATACTTCTATTACTTCCTATTTGTAATTCATCATCACTCTCAGTATCTTGATTGATATTATCTGCTGATTTGGTTCTTTAAGTCAAATCTTCATTAGTTTCATATAGCATCATAGTAGCTTTTGAATAATACATTTGCTTAATTTGTTCAAGTTTGTGATTTTGGTAAGCTTGGTTTATTACACCCTTTATTTGAGCCATTGTCAAGATCTTTGTATACTAAAAAGTAGATTTTGTATAGAGTATAATTAGATTACATTAAAAAAATTCAAACTATTTTTTAAATAAATTTACTTCTTATCTTTAATTGATTTCTTGAAACTGAATGTAAATGGCCCATTGAAAACCACAATCTTTCTACTGATGCAATATTTATGCAAATACCCATTATTCAACATGCCACAAATCCCAATTCTTTTGCACTCTCTGAGTACCAATTCCAATATCCAAATATATCTTGGTTAAACTGATTAAATGATGTATCATTAAATGGAAATTTCTTGGTCTGATAATTGTCAAACTCTCACAAAATGCTTGTTAGAGTAGTGTCAGTCCAAGCAATATAATAGTACAATAAATATTTACTTAAATCAATCCAATTCAAATGCACTAAGTTCATATCAAATTTATCAAGGTGATAGTTAGGATGAAGTACTCATGATAAAATAATAATTGGTTATTCCTACTATTTCCATCATTTTTCTAGACAATTACACAATCACATACTGAATTGCAGATCTGAAAGTTCCAACAAAAATTAGTAAAAGTAATCAAAAGAATGAAGTACATCATAAAGACATGCTTTATCTTATTGTAAAATGTTCAAGCAGCCACAATATGGCAAAAGAAGTCATTTGATAGTAAGTACATTTTGCCAAAATTCAGGATTATTAATTGGATTGCAGATATCACTAGGTAATATCAGATTATCTTTCAGAATTCTTGGAGTACTTTCAATTTTGTGCAAATATGTATTATTTTGATTATTTGTATTGGTTTGTGATGATTCTGCTTCTTCATAGATATCAATTTGAGATTTATATCATGCTATAAGTATCTTGATAAATTAAAATTAGAATTAGAATAAGCAATAATAATTAATAATTTAATAAATAATATTATCTTTAAAGCTTTCTTAGTTCGCAAAAGACTACTAAAATAATAATAATAACTATTCCAATATGTATCATCAGGAACAATCAAAGCTTGTAATTTTTTATATGTCTGTATTTGGATATCTCAAAGTTTTTCAGCAAAATAAACATGACTTTTATTTTTGAAGTATATTGCAATATGAGCAGCTTTAGTGACAGTAGTCTTATATGTATTGGATTCTTTAAATATTTCTCCAACACATAAATTTGTCTGATGGGTGAAATATGATAAATATGTAATCATATAATTTTCAACTTGAAGTTATTTTCTAAATAAAATATATAAATAAATTAAATAAATTTCAAAATTCAAAGCAAAATAATTATTACCTTGCTGCAGCATATGATGAATAGCTATCTGTTACAATTGCTGATATCTTTATTGCTTTATCTGTTACAGTTTTTACAATAATATTAATCTTTATTTTGACTTCTTCAGTCTGTGCTCTTTCATCACTAATATCTGTTGCTTGCCAAACTAAAACTTCATCTGAACTTGTAATTAAAACACTTCCCAAGATAGATTGATTAACAATATTTATTCAACTATCCATTGTAAGAGTAACACCATATGAATCTTCTTGTACTTTTAGTTTGATATTAGCAATCATTTAATCAGAAGTACGTGATAATATGTCATCATCTAGTTTTCATCATTCAGGAGGTTTGCATGAAGAATTAATGAATTCAAATAATATAATAGTATCTGGATTTTGTACCTAATGGAAGCTCTATCCATTTGAAATTATTGCCTTTAATAGCAGATAATTAAATTAGTCAAAATTATTTCCAGTAAATTAATGAAAAGCAAAATTATCTAATGATCCATTGATTGCTGAAGAGGTTGACTTTATATAGAAACTATTATTCAATATTAAGCTAGATATTTTACTTGATACTGAAATCTGACTTTGATTAGTAATTGATGTTTGGTAAGATGATTTAGTAGATTCATCTAATTTTAAATTATTAATAAATAATTTGAATTTAAATTAAATTCAAGATAAT